CGCGTGTAATCTCCTTCTGTTATAACTCCTTGCCAGTACGTACAGTAATGACATACAATTAGATCGATCATAATTTCGCCACTTCGCGTTATAAGTACAATGATTTTCCAGATCGAGAGGAAACCATGGCAGAAATTAAACACTCTGAAATAACCAAGGAAGCGCCAAGGACGCCGAATGTTGAAGTTAAAGGGTCCGCTCTGGGAGACACCAAGAGCAGCGTTGCAGAGAGTGTGAAAAAAGGTAGGGATCTACGAGACACGTATCAATACTAGAGGTGGGCAAATGACAATTTTTTTCAAACAAGATTCTGTGGCCATTTTGGCTGCTAAGCACAAATCCGACAATAATTTTTACTAAGGTTAAATATTTATATTGGTTTCTGCAATTTGTTTGTGAAAAAAGGCGGGAATGGCTTTTTAACAATATTTTCACGGAAAATATGCATAAAAAATTATGTGTAATACGTTTTTCCATATGTTTTGGGAGTTGCAGAGTTCAAATATTAGCATATTCAAGTCAATAACATTTGTAGGGTGATATCTTTAAAATATGTTATTTTAAACAAACATATACAGAAAATACACACTTCGAGTCAAAGATAAATGCAAATAATGGCAATTATGTACATACTGAATTCATGGATAACAGTTTGGTTTTAAAAACAATGCTGAATACCTTCATGGATGTGTACCAACTTATGTTATGCTGTATAAGGGAACATTCCCGCAGATATTTGGACGAACTATCTCCTTGGGGAGTCTCACTAAATTGCTATCAACTAAACCGGCTTAAATGTCTGTCACGCCTAGTAAAGATGTTAGGAGGTAATTATCTTTACCCCGTAGCTGACTCGGTAGCCATGGCAGACATTTAAGACGGTTTAGTTGATAGCAATTAAGTGATCGGTCTAACCCAGAGAGTTAGACCGATCCAGATGGATCGATCTAGGTATGGGAACCCAGTTTAATTTTCCTTTTCTTTAGAACAGGTAAAACTTTGTCAGGTGGCATAAACCTCTAACAACCTCTAACCTCTTGACATTAGTACTTAGTTTCAGTTGCGTAGTTTAAGAGTATCTCACCACTACCATGGAAGCATCAGTAAGAGATACACTGAGACCAGAAAGCACTGTAAAGCCCCCGTCACACTTATTCGGAATTAGCAGTAATCACGCAGAACGAGTCGGAATGAACAATTTTCAAAATTGGCGCCACATACGGTGGGAAATTTCAAACTGACCTAATTCTTGTCGAACCTGCCTGGAATGATTTGGGCACATTTTGGGTGTATTAACTCTCAAATGCAGCTCGAATGTACTTGACACACATTAGGAATGCCGCAAGAATATTAAGAATGTGACTCATAGTGCAGTTATAATACACTTCGAATACCATTCGATATTTCTCCACTTGGAATGCACTTCGAAAGTTTTGAGCACGAGCAAAACATTTGGACTGGACGCAAGAATGGGCCCATACATTTGGAATATGCTCAGAATTTTTAGAATGCACTTCGAATATCCAGGAATAAACAAAGAATTTTCCGACGACATTCTAGCTCATTTCGCCTCTAGTGTGACTAGGGCATAAATGAAGACATTAAGGATATTGTCACCCTTCGCCTAAAACTCCTTATTTATTGTATTCAGTGATTATATAAATTAACATTTATACGTGTCATCTTACGGATGACGTTATAATTCCGATTTTGGGGTAAAAACTGAAATTTGTTTTACCTGAACACTCATGATTACCGCCAATTTAATGATATCATTAAGTACTCCAAAACGCTGCCAGCGATTTTTCTTAAAAGTCTTAGTTTAGATTTTATCGTTGATAAAGCAAAATAATACCTTTGTTTAATGTAAATCTGCAATTGCAAGCTCATAACTCAATAACAAAAGCATTTAAACCAAAACGCTGGCACGGGATTGTAGTTCATGCCCCTGCGGACCACTATGCCTTTTTTGTGATAAAATCTTGTTTAGGGATGAAATTACGCCCCATACAGAATACTATCTTACCTCATAAAACAAAGGTGTCAAATATACGATTAAAGCTTTGAGTTGCCTATGCTTATACATTGCACAGAAAAATATAAATGCCGATATTTCATATTTTCAAGAGTTTTTTCATTGTTTTGAATTAGCACAAAGATAGATACATTATTGAATAATTAGATGAAGGAAAAAACTCATCTTCGGTATCTGGATGATAATAAAGGGTAACAATGTCCTTAATGTTCTGCTACTGAGTTTACTACTATAAATATTCCTGTATGTAACTAACATTATCACTTCCCAATATGGCAAGACTGTACAGTTTCATGTGAACCTTGAATAATATTCGCCATATTTGTTATATTATTGTTTTCCCCAATTTAAAAGCCTTAGTTGCATAAACATTAGTATTTTGTACACAAAAATGGTGATTTAGGGTGGTTTTAACCTCAAAATGACCAAAAATTCCTCTTTTACCCAAATTGAAATAACCCAACATTAGTGATTTATCTATTTTACGCTCATTGGTCATAACATCATATGGTTAGACATATAACAAGCCATATTTGAACTGATATTTAAGGATTTACATGAGAACTCTATGATTTGATGGGGAGCCATTTTGAAAAATCGCGTGATACCAATATCAGATGTAATCTGAAACAAAAAACTTATTTGTATTTAGCAGCCAAACTGACCACAGAATCCACTTGTATGAAATTAAATTTCAAAAAAAAAAAAAAGAAAAAGGTTTCATTTGCCCACCCCTATCAATACTGCACCATACAATAGTTTATTTCATGTGATCAGGCTTGAAAATATAACATTTACCTAATTTCCTTTATGGTCCTAAAGGAAATTGACCCAATGTCCCGTATACGATCCTATAGGACAAAAGTTTCCATCGGGATGTCTTACAGAATTCTTATGGAGACCCATAGAGACCTGAAGCAGATTTATAGAGTCCTGTAGGAGTCCAGTAGCGTCCCACAGAGTCCATAGGACACCCTATAGGATATTTTTGCAAGGGTGATGCCTATTCAAGCCAGTTATCTAGCCAGCAATTTCAAAATATTGTATTTCATCTTAAAGAATGGACCTTTTCGTTCCATTAGTTGACCTAACTTGTGAAATGAAATAGAAACTAGATTAGAAGTTGGAAACACGTTTGAAAATATAACATTAGCAGAAGCCACTCACTAGAAAATAAACAAAAGCTAAAAAATGCTCTACATTGTATTTCAGAAAACGCCCTAGTTTCAATGGAGGAAGAAGATGGCGCCAAACCATGCACTTTGGTTGACACTACAGCGAGCCTACAGTCTGCAAGTGGAACACTCAGAGGTATGGGTACAAAAGACCCAAATCTTGCCGTGGATGGGAAAGGCAGTGTCTCCGAGCCCTACACTTTGGTTGACACTAAAGAGGGCCTTGAAACTGCACTCAAAACCCTGAAAAGTGTGAGTAAAGAAGGTCCAAATCTTGCCGTCGATGGTGAAGGTGTTGATTATTCCAGAAGAGGAACGCTGTCTTTACTTGCCGTTGCAACAAGAGATCACGTGTTCCTGTTTGATATGATCAAGCTCGGACAACTCGTTTTTGATCGCGGGCTTCGCGAGATTCTCGAGGATCCTACACGCGAAAAGCTGATGTTCGACTGCCGCGAAGATTCAGATATCCTCTGGCATAACCACCACGTGAAACTTGACGGTGTCCTGGATATACAGATTTTGCAAGTTATGTATAGTAATAGAGATAACTCGGATCTCTCGCCATTTGGTCAAAAACGATGTGCCATAGCACCTTGCGAAAAGGTATTTAGCTTGCTGCATTGCCTTGTGCACTACACTGACGTCGTTACATCCATTAAAATAAATAAATCAGTTGGGTCATTCTTTTTTCTATCAACTAAGAAGTGGATGGACAGACCCTTACCTGCGGACATGATTAAGTACGCATGCGTCGAAGTATCAACCTTATTTGGCCTCTACGAAAAAATGAAAATGAGCAACGAGGACATGAGACGGTTGAAGACTGCATCATCGCGCTACGCCGATCTGAAGCGTTCGCTCACCGTACGCCGTTTTGACGAATTTGAAAAAAATGGGTACCTGCCACTACATATAATACCTCCAAAAGGATCTGTTGGCTTTTCGGACTATCAGTCCAATAAAGGCACCGAGTGCACGGGTTGTAAAAGGCGCTTTCCGCGCGAAGCGTTCACTTACACACAGCTTAGAAAAGGAGAACAAAAATGCAGAGTTTGCAGGAAGGTGAAAAACGACAATGATGTTGAGAGTAACAGAGAAGACAATTGGGCACGTGATTGCTCTGACGACAGTGCTGTATACTACTCCACGGATGAAAATGAGGATTATTATTAGGAGGAACGGAAAAGTATTTTAATTTTCAGGGCCATTTGATTGACGCGCAGGTTGTAGGTATATGTGTGG